GTGACCTTCACGTGATCTTCAAACGACTATCCAAGGTCAAACCAATGACACCATCTTATGTGCCCTTCGAAGTCACAAAACTCTTGTCTGAAACATTTTTCTTTAAAATGTCGCGTTTACGAAAAAATCGGGTGAGACGGGTGGTCTGGGACACCCTGTATATATATATATATAAATATATATGTATATGTATATATATTTATTTATATATATATATATATATTTATTTATTTATTTATTTATTTATTTATTTATTTATTTATGTATTTATTTATTTATTTATTTATTTATTTATATTCTTATGTATTATTAATATTTTTTTTTAATATTCTGAGAACATTTTTATAATATGCTAAGAATATTAAATAAAATAGACATATCAACATCAATAGAACGTTCCTATAATATTAAAAAGTATTATATAACATTCTTAGAATATTATAAGAATATTATTTTAATATTGAATAATATTCATATAATATTCTAGGAATATTACACGCATGTAGGATATGTGTTAACAATGTGCCACGGTTTTGTAGCTTCAGAGCAAACTAGGAGAATTCTTGTCGATAGTGGACGGAACTTTCAGCGCGTTTGTTAACACTTACAAGATATCACTGCCGCCGACCAACAATGTCGAATACAAGTTCATAATAGGACTCCTCGGCATCGTCACAAACTTATCCGCGAGTCCGGAGGGCCGTGAGTTTTTAATTACGAATTTCAGCGGCAGGGAATTCGTGCGGAAAATAATTCAACTGATTTCCGAATTGCCGTCAGATTCTGGGTCGTCACCTCTGAAAAGGTGCATACATACATTTACATATATTGTCCCGTTATATTTTCACAGTTGTATCTATTCGCAGTTATTCCAGGTCGTACATTAGAAATACACAGTGTTTGCCAATATCTTGATAAAATTATCTAAATAATCATCCAGATGAATAAATAAGTCATCTTTATCTAAATGGAAAAATATAAAATATATTCATCTTCATCTTAGATTTAAAAAAACATGTTATCTCATCCAAAAATGATCTGAAATGATGTTATAGTCCATATTTTGAACTCACTTTTCGATCAAATGAATGAAATAATATGGACTTATGCGTCAAGCTCGAATCAGACTAAAGATTGGAGATTAGATTTCAACGAATTAACAAATTTTGGTTTTATCTCCTTTGAGACAAAGTATACTTGTCTCACTCTAACTTATTGCACTAGTTCAGCAATGCAACTAAAAAGAACAGAACTATTTATTTCAATTGATCAATCCACTTTAAGCCTGTATCAAACTATCGGTTGTGAGTGAGCAGTTAATAATTCTTGGCCTTTTTTGTTAGATTCTTAAATTTAAATTGATTACGTTGAAGAATTACTTAACCGTTGTGCAATTTTATGATCTGCATAATTTTTATTATAAATTCTTATAAAGTCCCTCTTGAAAATTATATCATCTAAACAATTATCTAGATAAGTAGCGCTACTTATCTTACCATTTATATAGATAAATCAAAAGCAAAATCATCATCTCGTCTGAGATGAATTTTTTGAGTTTTCATCTCATCTTCATCTAGATGAATCGGAAATCATTTAAGGCAAACATTGGACCTACATATGTATTAATTCGATTATTTGTAATATAAATTAGCGGGACAATCTTTTGTGAATCTTTCCGCTTCTTTGATACAAAGTCCCACAAGACACCTTGCGTGCATCGACAATCGTCTCGAGTGCAATTGCATTACAGATTGATGCTAATGGTTCTGTACAACGTGAGCGTGAACAAGACCGGCTTGCAGTACCTGCTGGAATCACGAGTGGGGGACTCGTTGAGTCATTGTTTACGAGACAAATCGACCGTGGAAGAGATGCAACTGCTTTGTCTTCGCGTTCTGCAGTCTGTCACTTATGACCTCACGGAACCGAGATACATTCAAGATCTCAATGCAGCCATCCCAATCGATATGATAGAGACCATAGCGTGCTCGAAGCGGGACAATTTGAGCGATATTGCGAAACAAGTTATTGAACATCTACGAAACTACGAACAAAATTGCAAAGTGACGTCCCAAGACGTGTGATCGATTTGAATGCATTCTTCTCGAGTGTGTTTGCGCGTCAAACGTTTGAAGACGTGAGAAAAATATATGCGTTGGTACTATTGAAGTACTTCCCTCGTGCCTGTACCAGAGACCCGGACCGGACCGGAAATCGTACCGAAATTTTATAAAGCCTACAGAACCGAAAATCGGAACCGTTATATTTTTTTCGAAAGGATACGTCCATGAAATGATACTTTTGATCAATTGAGCACGTATGTGAAATATAAGAATTTTCCTTTAATTTAATAATCAATAAATAGTCGTCAAGTTAACGTGACAAAGTCGAAAGATAGGCTAAAAATCAATGTTGTCGTATTAATTTTACGATTATTTATTAACTGTTAAAGCAAGAGAAAAGTTTTTGTGGAATATTTTACAAATGTAATCGATCGATCACACAAGTGTCGTTTCATGGATATAACCTTTCATTTCAATATATTTCTCAAGAAAATTGGGTTTGGATATACGTTTCCCTGCTTCTGACATTATCAATCAAGACAACCGCAGCGAGTTACCAGGAGTCTTGAATTCCGATTAATCTAATCTCGATTCGATTTTATACGAATGTTCGCGAGGAATTGCATCGAATGCTATTCAGTGCCCTACTCCGTGTTGAACTTTTAGGCAAGTTTCACTTCGCTATCATGACAGACAATAATAGACTATTGCTAGACTACATACTATCCTTGGAACGCATGTTCATGGTTAGCAGGAGGGTTGTCGAATATCGATTTGCAAAGAGCAGGAATAAAATGAAAACGATCATTCGCAGGATGGAGTGCACATATAATGGCGAGTCAATGTTATAAAAGTTATTATATGCTCTTGCGATATCGACACTAACAATGATGATTAAATTATATGACAACAGTGAAGCAGTTGGTCGCTTAGACATAAAGAAATAAATATTGTATGAATAACGAAACCGGGAAATTGAATTTCGTTGCATTTGCAACGAAAGCTGCAGTTACGATTTCCACGCTGAAAGAAGGATTTAGTAATATATAATAAAATTTAGCAACTGTTGCTAAATAATTCGGTGAAATATTGCGGGCCAAACGTTCGACAACGGTTACGAAATAATTTGATTAGATGAAGCGAATATATAGTTTTAAGAATGAAGATTTAATTGCTTAAACCATACATTTAGATTGTTAAATTAAACTTAATTAATACCATTGTTAAATTAAACGTAATTAATTAATACCAAATCTTGACGCATAGTCCGTAAAGAAAATTGTTTTAGGTAATTATCGCCATTTTACTAAAAAAATTTTTCGTTCTATGTAAATTACTTTAAGATAACTTAATATTTTTACTTTATTTTGATGATATTTTTTTCACTTCATATGTAAAGAAATCCTCCGTAGTTTCAATCTCGTAGCGGTCACTCCATCCAACTTACTGACTGCGATTCTGTGTTGTTTTGTGCTTTAGTTCAAACAGAAACCGACAAGTCCTACAAACTCTCGTTATGTCTTTGTATCTCGTGTTTAAAATGTGTTCTTGTATGGAGAAAGAGAAAGAGAGTAAAAAGTGAGTGAGAGAGAGCGGTCGAGAGAGAGAAGAGAAAGGGAGAGAAAAAGGAGAGAGAGCGGTCGAGAGAGAGAGAGAGAGAGAGAGAGAGAGAGATAATCATAAATATTTACTAATAGCCACCAAATATTTCATAAGAATGGAATTGAATGATATCGTAATACTTCAATAACAGATTTGGAATTGAATGATATCGTAATACTACAATAACAGATGTTAATTAAATATTTGGTAGCTATTTTATTTAGTTGATTCAACTCTGAATAAATAAATAAATAAGTCGTAATAAATAAAAAAGTCGTTCATACATTGCAGGCCAACTAAATACTTGGTAATTAATATTAAATTTCATAACAGTTACCAAATATATTCTGTCGAAATCTCTAACTAAATGCATTTAGTAAGTATTACTAGTCTACTTTTTTTCAGTGTACCGTCGCATTCTGAATTTACCAGTCCGACGATTAATGCGCTCGTGATTTTCCGAGCTATTCTTCGTAACTGCTTATTCACGAGGGGCAACGAGACACGTCAGTTGCACTGACCTGAACGGTTATATCGAGGTAACGACCGGCCGCTCCAAATAAAAGTTTGCGTGTGTTTCCATAGATGTTCGATAATACTGCGCGCGATACGATCGCGCGCAATTACCGTAATTTAAATATTTTATAAGTGAACCTATCCATGCGAGATAGCGCGAATATCCTTTTTCGTGTAGATTTACGTTTAGAATGTAAATTTTCTCAAATAATGCGCGCGAGTATCGCAAGAGCGCACTCGTTAAAAATGTACAAGAGAGAAAGTTACTAAAGATAACTGGTTTCCCACACAGCAACATTGAACAGAAATCTCACTGAAATTATAGTCGTTTGCAATGACTCAACTATATTTTCTTCCGGTTTTAACCCCAAAAATAGTAGCAATATTTCTGCCAAGAAACCTCACTCAAATTGCCGTTCGGAACCGACGTTAAAACTGTAGGTCCTATATATTTGTGTATAATTTGCGTGCGCACCATAATTATATGCGTGTGAGGATCGGACAATGTTGAAAAGATGTTACAAAACCAATATCATCATTAAAAAGTAGTAATATGCATGTGAGGTTATTATTACTGACATTATAGTACAACACTCACGTACTTACTTACTAGAAAAGTGGTTATTTTGACTATAATTCTTTTACTTGTGCAATTATAGTTACAAATACCAAAAGTTTTTTCTCAGTAAAACGAAACGTGTTATATTTTTTAATGAATTTCTATACAACAAGTATCTTTGTCTCGCGCTTTATGCAGCTGATTTCCAAGAGAACTAACACTCCTAATTTCCCTGTGACGTACGATTATGCGGCAAGTAGTATATGCAGGGACGTACCCAGGATATCAAGAATCCTGCACGAAAGAGAAAGATTGGTCGAAATAACATGACAACGAACGAAAGAAACAAAATTTTTACTTCTAAAAATCAAATTTGTCCTATAAAAGTCAAAAATTTGGTTTCCTTCGTTCATTGTCGTGCTAATTCCACCGATCTTTTTTCTGTATATAGCATTCTCAACGTCCTAGATACATATCTGCGTGTACTAAGAGATTAATCTGATTTATAAGAACTAGAAATTCTGTCTCTCCTTCAATCAAAACCAGTGTTTGCCTTAGATAATTTCAGACTCATCTAGATGAAAATGAGATGAAAATTCGAAAAGTTTGTCTTAGATGAGATAAAACGATTTTGATTTATATAGATGAAAGATAAGTAGCACTATTTATCTAGATATTTTTTAGATGATATTACTTTCAAGAGAGACTTTATAAGAATTTATAATAAAAATTATTTATAATAAAAATCATAAAATTGCACAACGGTTAAGTAATTCGTCAATGTAATCACTCTAAATTTAAGGGTCTAACAAAAAGACCAATAATTATTGACTATTCACTTACAGTCGATAGTTTGATACGGGTTTAAAGTCGATTGATCAATTGAAACAAATGGTCTGTTCTTTTTAGTTGTACTGATGCAATAATAAATAGAGTGAGATAGATATATTTTATCTCACTCTAACTTCTTGCACCAGTTCATCAGTGCAGGTAAAAAGAGGGCAGTTAAAACAGACCAAAGGAGACAAAACCAAAATTTGTTCATTCATTGAAATCTAACCTCCAATCCTTAGTCTGATACGGGCTTGACGCATAGGTCCATATTATCTCATTCATTTGATCGAAAAGTGAGTTCAGAATATGGACCGTAACATTATTTCATATAATCTTTAGATGAGATAACATGTATTTTTTTCTAAGATGAAGATGAATATATTTTATATTTCTTCCATTTAGATAAAGATACGGATAATCTATTTATTTATCTGTATGATTATTTAAATAATTTTATCTAGATACTGGCAAATGATCAAAACACATTCGGACTATTCATTGTCACGTTAATTTTATCAATCTTTCTTCTCCGTATTCACAACGTTTCATCGACGTAAGTCAACCAGATGCAACATTCTCCATCGATCTATATCTACACGGAGAAAGAAGATCGGTTGAATTCACGTGGTAATGAATGAACCGAGTGCGTTTTCGTTAAAGAAAACCGAATTTCTAATTCTTACGAATCGAATTTGGCTGAGCCAAAAATTGTTCTTTTTTCTACTATATATATATATATATATATATATATAAAACTTAAGTCAATAGTCAATAAAAGTTCAATAAGGAAACAAGTTTAAAGAACCGGAACCTAAAAAAGACCGTAATTTAAACGGTACCGGTACTTTCATTGTCCAGAAAACCGGAACCGGAATCCTTATTAATTGTTTTAGTCGACCGGAACCGGAATAATATTTCCGTTCGATCCGGGTCCCTGAATAAGACCAAAGAAAACTACAATTTCTATCGATGAATTCTCTTCCACGCCGAGAGAGCAGATACTCTCTCGAGCAACGCGCCCCGACGTACGTTCGAGGTGGGTGTCACTCGAAGTACCGGCCGGCTTCTCTAAGGGCGAATTCCGCGGACGCATTTTTCTTAAGGATCTGCCCATCGACGCTCCTGGCGCTCCGTCGTCGAATATCGACCCGGTGCGAGTGAGCGGGCGTGCGCGCGGCACACACGGAGCTCTCGCGCGTCGGAGAGCGCGGCGTCGCTCCGCTTCGCCGCGTCCGGGCGCGCTCGACGCGCTAGAGCGGCGGTGGCAGGCGCACGCGTCGGGACGTCGCTCCACGTCCGGCGTCGCGCGCATACAAGCAGCCCTCACGGAGGAGAGAGCAGCTCGGCGAGCGAGCAGGCAGGACCTGGGGAAGGCGACGGCCGGGCGCTGCCGTTTTATTGATCCCGAGGCGCGGGGCTACCCACCCGCCGCCGCGGGAGAGAAACTCTTCTCTCCGGCGAGGAGGATCGTTCTCTCTCTCTCTCTGTTCGTCCCTTTTCCCCGACGTCG